CCCAATTAATAGAATAATAATTATATTGCTGCTAATATCAATACTTATAATACTAATGCTAATATCAATACCAACACTAACACTATTAATTCTACTAATATTATTAATAATAATATTATTACCTATGCGACACCAACTTTATCTCACCCCAATTAATAGAATAATATTATTACTACTGATACCAATACTAATAATACTAATGCTGATATTAATACCAACACTATTCTACTAATAATATTAATAGTAATAATAATATCATTACATAAATGACACCAAGTCTATGTGACCTCTATTAATACCCCAATTAAAAAAATAAAAATATTACTACTGATACCAATACTAATAATACTAATGCTAATATTAATACCAACGCTAATACTACTAGCACTAATACCACTAATATTAATAATATTAATATTATTACTACAGGACACCAACTCTACAAAGCCCAATTAGTTACCCCAATTAATATAATAATTATATTACTGCAAATATCAATACTAACGATGCTAATGCTAATATTAATACCAACAATAATACTACTATTATTAATAATAACATTATTACCTAAGTGACACCAACTTTATCTCACCCCTATTAATTACCCCAATTAATAGAATAATAATATTACTGCTAACACGAATACTAATAATACTAATGCTATTATTAATGCTGACACTAATACTACTAATATTGATAATATTAATATTATTACCTACATGGCACCAACTCTATCTGACCCCTATTAATTAACCCAATTAATATAATAATACTAATACCAATACTAATACTACTAATGCTAATATTAATACCAACACGAATACTGCTAATATTATTAATAATAACATTATTACCTACACGATGCCAAGCCTATCTGGCTGCTATTAATTACCCCAATTAATAGACTTATAATATCACTACTAATACCAATATTAATACTAATACCAATATTAATACTACTAATGCTAATATAAATACCAACACTAATACTACTAATATTATTAATAATAACATTATTACCTACAGGACGCCAAGCCTATCTGGCTGCTATTAATTACCCCAATTAATAGACTTATCACTACTCATGCCAATACTAATACTACTAATGCTAATATTAATACCAACACGAATACTGCTAATATTATTAATAATAACATTATTACCTACAGGACACCAAGCCTATCTGGCTGCTATTAAATTACCCCAATTAATAGACTTATAATATCACTACCAATACCAGTATTAATACCAATACCAATATTAATACTACTAATGCTAATATAAATACCAACACTAGTACTACTAATATTATTAATAATAACATTACTACCTACAGGACGCCAAGTGTACCTGGCCGCTATTAATTACCCCATTAATTAACGAGCCCCCTACCCGGGATCTCCTCGCTCTGGGGCTTGGGTTTCTTGCGCAATTTGGGTTTCTTCTGATTGGTCCTTGCCAGGAGGTGCCGCAGGTGCCGCGAGACTGGGGCAGAGCAGCGGGAATTCCCGCGGGAGCGACAGCGGGGGTGGGATGGGAATGGGGAAAAGAAATTAAAGTGGAAATTAACATCGAAATGAAAAATAAAAATATTAAAAAATAAAATTTATAAAAATTCGATTGAAATTAAAACAAAAAAATGGATTAAATGTAAAATTAGGATTAAAGTTAAAATGGGAAAAATTAAATAGAAGTAAAAAAAAATTAGATGGTGAAACCATGGAATCCTGGAATTTTGGATGCAAAGCTACTAGAGAGGAAACATCTGGAGGTGGGAATGATGGAAACCATGGAATCCTGGAATTTTGGATCGAAAGCTACTAGAGAAGAAATGTCTGGGGGTGGGAATGATGGAAACCATGGAATCATGGAATGGTTTGGGTTGGAAGGAACTTCAGGGAATGGGAGAAGTTCCAGGAGTGGGGGTGACACTGATCCCACAAAGGTGTCAAAGCTCATTTCCTCTTGGTTCTCCGGTTGGATTTCCGGGAAGAAGGTGGGAAAGGCCTCACAGCACTGGGTGCACCTCCCGGAGATGTTTTGGATGTTCCTCATCCACCTTTCCATGAGGAGACTCAGCCAAGAGGAAAGGAACCGAATCCATGGGTTGGGACATGGAATCATGGAATGGTTTGGGCTGGAAAGGACCTCTGAAGGTTGGGTTGGATGGAACTTCTGGGGATGGGAGAAGTTCCAGGAGCAGAGATGAGGATGATCCCACTGCAAAGGTGTCAAAGCCCAGTTCCTGTTGGATTCTGGGAAGGAGAAGGGTGGGAAAGGCTCCACAGCACCGGGTGCACCTTGAGGAGGGGTCTTGGATGAGTTCCTCATCCACCTTTCCATGAGGAGACTCAGCCAAGAGGAAAGGAACCAAATCAGCGGGTTGGGACATGGAATCATGGAATGGTTTGGCCTGGAAGGGACCACAAAATCCATCTAGGGACACCTTCTGCTATCCTAGATCGCTCCAATCCCCATCCAACCTGGCCTGGAACACTTCCAGGCATCGAGGACAACCACAGAAGCCACCGGGCCGCGGTTCCTCACTTACCTTTGGTGTCATTCACCGGATCCATGTGCCGGTAAATGTATCCTTCAAGGTAGGAATGGAATTTGGGAGTGGGTGGGAAAAAGGCCAAACAAATGGCCATGAGCTCCCAGCCGCGGGCCAGGCTCTCGTAACGGAAGTTCTCGGTGGTCTGCCGGCACAGCTGGATGTAGAGCTCGTCTCGCAGCCCCTGCATGCTCCAACCTTTGGTGGCGATCTCCAAGGCCACGTTGAGCTGGTCCGTCTTGGCCCGCCGGTCGCCCATGTACATCTGGATGAGCTTGAAGATCTCGCACGCCTCCTTCTTGACGTTGCGGTCGTTGGTCATGATCATGGGTTTCTTGATGGATTCGCTGCTCCAGGCCAGCATGTTGGCGATGGAGACCTTCCGGCGGAAGAGCCCTTGGGTGTGCTTGTTGAAGTGCTTGGAGGCCCAGTTCTCAATGTCCGTCTCCGAGGAGGGCTTGCGCAGGTTGAAGGTGGGGAAGACGCAGCTGGCGCTCGGCATCATGTTCCGCGTCTGCCGGCTGCTCTCGAACTGCGCGCAGGCGCCGAGGTCCTCGGACTGGGGGATGACAGGAGGGACGGGTCAGAGGTGCTGGTGGGGTGGGAGTGCTGATGGATCGATTGATTGATCGATTGATCGAGCAACAGATCAAAAAACTGACCAGCCAATAAACCAATGAACCAACCAAACAATGGCTCAATCAACCGACCAACCAACTGATCAATCAACAAACCAACCAACCAATGAACCAACCAATGAAACAGTGAGTAAACCAATCTATCAATCAACCAACCAACCAACTGATCAATCAACAAACAAACCAACCAATGAAACAGCCAGTAAGCCAATCAGTCAGCCAACCAACAGATCAATCAATGAATCAACCAGCCAACCAACGGATCAATGAACAAACCAATCAATGAACAAACCAATCAATGAAACAACCACTGAACCAATCAGTCAACCAACCAACCAATGAACTGATCAATCAACAAACCAACCAATAAACCAGTCAAGCAACCAACAAGCGGATCAAGGAACTAACCAATGAATCAACCAACAAATCTATCAATTAATTAATCAAGCAAACAATCCATCAACCAACAGATCAAAAAACTTATCAACCAACCAACAAACCAATAAACCAACCAACAAACTGATCAATCAACAAATTGATCAATGAAACAACCAGCCAGTAAACCAATCAATTAACCAAGCAACAAATGGATCAATCAACTGATCAATCAACCAATGAACCAACCAAGAAATCAACAGACCAACAAACCAACCAATAAGGCAACTGATGAAGAAAGCAATGAACCAACCAACCAATCAACCAATAAAGCCATCAAGCAGCCAAAAAATTGATCAGTCAACCAAGCAACGAACCAATCAATCAACCAATCATCCAACAAATAAATCAGCCAACAAACTGATCAACCAACTGACCAGTGGAGAAACCAACAGACCAACCAACCAATGCATGAATGGTTGAACCAACCAAGCAATGAATTGATCCACCAAACCAATCAATCAACCAATCAACAAACCAACTGACCAGCCAACAAACGAATGAACCAACCAATCAAACAATGAACCAACCAACCACCAAAAAATCAATCAATCAATCAACCAACCAATCATCCAAACAATAAATCAGCCAACAAGCTGATCAATAAACCAACTGACAAGTGGAGAAACCAACAGACAAGTCAATCAACCAACCAATCAATAAATCAATCCAACAAACCAATTAACCAACCAACCAATGAATCGATCCAACAAACCAACCAATCAACCAATCAATGAATTGATCTGACAAACCAATCAACCAACTGACCAGTGGAGAAACCAACAGACCAACCAACCAACGAATTGATCCACCAAACCAATCAACAAGCCAACTGACCAGCCAACAAACAAATGAACCAACCAATCAGACAATGAACCAACCAACCAACCACCAAAAAAAAAAAATCAATCAACCAATCATCCAAACAATAAATCAGCCAACAAGCTGATAGAGAAACCAGCAAACCAACCAATGAATTGATCTGACAAACCAACCAATCAACCAACAAATCAATTAATCAGTAAACCAACCAACCAACGAACCAACCAACCGTTGCAGCATTCAGAGGTCTTCCCATAAGCCTTGTCCTCTCCAAGGAGCTTCTCCTCAATCCCATCATGGCCAAGTGGAGCTGACCCAGTGTCGGCAGCCAAGGTGGGCTGTGGCACCAATTGGCATCAGGAGGGAGGGGACTGGTGGGGACAAGTGACAGGCTGGACTCTCTCCACACTTGGTCAGTGGACCACGGACAGAAGAAGTTGGTGGCAATGTGGGGGAAACAAAGAGCGAGTGGCTTTGGGTTCCACCCATCCTTTGGGGACACTGGAGACACACCCACCTTTAACAGCCCGCCAGGAAACCCCCTCTACCCAAAATCACCTTCCAGGGTGGTTCTCCAGTGGCCACAGGAGGAGGCTGGTGGCTCCTCCAAGCCATGAGCAACATGGATGGCCCTTCTGGAACATCCTGAGCGACAGGAGATGCTCAGGATTTAACCTTGACCTCTGCAGAGCATCCAGCTGGGAAGGACCCAGAGGAGCCCTGTGGACCGGTGTCCTCCTACTGGAACCAGCACAGCTTGTGGATGTCACCCCAGGAGGTGGAGGGACACCTCAACAGCTGGTGACCAGCATGGAGGAGGCCAACAAGGGACAATTGGGATGGACAGTTGGACAATTCTGTGGTCCTGCAGCCAGCCAAGGTGGCTTCATCATCTCTTCTGCAACATCCAGGCCAGCACCGCCTGGGTTTGGGAGCCCTGGGGACGTGACCCATGGCAGGGAAGGACATGCCACACCATCCAGAGGTGACACCGCTGTCCCCAACTCATGTGGAGGAGCAGTGTTGGTGGCCCTGAGCAGGGTCTGTGGGCAAGGTGACTCCAGTGCTGCCACGGATTTGGGGCTGGGCTTCAGAGGAGGAACAGAAGAAAAGCAGAAGGTGAAAGACCCAGAAGATGGAAAATCTAGGAGGGGACAAGGAAGCCACCCAAAGAGCCACCAGAGCTCCTGTCAGATGACCGAGCTTCTACTTCTTCAAACAAGTGAAGATTCTTTTCTCTCCAGCAACTCGTCCTGTTCCAGTGTCGAGATCTTTCCATTGACATCGCTCCACTGCCATCTTGACGATGGTGATGATGGCAGGGACATGGGATGGGGACATGGGATGGGGACACGGGAGCTTCATCCCTCAAGGGACCCAGCCCTGCTGTCCCTGTGGAGGCCACTCCACCCCAAAGGTCCTTCTGTGTCCTCCAGCCTGGTCAGCTGAAGGCCCATGGGGTTTCCTGGGTGATGCAGGAGATGCTCGAAGGTCTCTCACCTGGCAGCTGCTGGGGACGTGATCTTCCAAAAATTGGTCCATGGGCTGGACCAGAGCCACCAAGAACACCCAGGGAGAAGAAAATGACCACACTGGTTGAGGACATCAACTTTCTCCAGCCAAGGAGAGCATGGTCAGACCAGGGAGTGACACCGGAAGCGAAATGTGATGAATCCTCTGCTGCCAGAGCCAATAGGAAATTAACTTCAGGGCTAATTAGATCTAATTAGCACCTAAATGAACCTGGGAGATGCCCTGGCCTACAAGAAGGGAATAAACCACCAGGTGTCAACTTCAAATGGCTGTGACCTCCTGCCTGTCCCATGGGGTGACGATGGTGTCACCTCAGGAATTAGGGAATCCTCAAGGGAGAAGGTCCTGGAGCCACGTGGATGCGGCTTGGATGCATCTCAGTGTGGGGACACTCCACTGGTGACAATCACAGCCATGACCATGGAAGGGACCTTCAAGATCATCCCATTCCAATGGCCAGGGACACCTTCCACGATCCCAGGGTGCTCCAAACACCGTCCAACCTGGCCTTGGACACTTCCAGGGATGGGGCAGCCACAGCTTCTCTGGGAAACCGGTGCCAGTGTCCCACCAGTGTCCCTGAGGTCGAGGATGACAGATGGGACCATCAGAACAGAAACCTCTGTGGAGTGGAGAAGATTCCCACCACGTCCCAAGCTCTGTGAAGGTGTAGGATCACCAATGGTGGCAGCTTTTTCTCCTGGTGTGAAGATCCAAAGCGGATCCGGAGCCCTCCAGCTGTGGGTTTGGACCTCCTCGTGCAGCGCGGAGTCCTTGTGCTTCAGGACTCTTCTTCTGATGCCTTTGGATGCAACACTCCACCCATTTCATTACACATTTCCATGGACAAAAAAGGAATTTTCCAGATGATTTGCTGTTTCCCAGGTCCATGTCCAGGGCCTTCTTCCTGCTGACACCAAATTCCATCTTCCAGGAAGTTTTCCAGGTGGGATTTATCCCCACACGTGGCGTCATCACCTGTTTTTTGGAAGCCCTGACAGCCTTTCCCTGGAGGGGAAGGGACTGATGGATGACATCCAGAAGCTGATGGAGGAAATCCAAAAACCAGGGAAACATCTGATGGGCCGGAATCTGGGCACCTGGGATGCACCAGCTCCAGCAATTCCAGGTGAGACCCTCAGGGTCTCCTCTGGAATGGGAGTTTGGGGCTGGAGGGATCTCCAGGGAGGGAACAGGCAGCCCACAACCCTGGGAAACAAATCCTGAAAAACTGGTGGCTCTTTCATTCCCAGGTTTTGAAGGACCACCTTGGCAAGGACCAACATCTTTGAGGGACCACCTTGCTAAGGACCAACTTCTTTGAGGGACCACCTTGGCAAGGACCAATTTGTTTGAGGGATCACCTTGGCAAAGACCAACTTGTTTGAGGGACCACCTTGCTAAGGACCAACTTCTCTGAGGGATCCCCTTGGCAAGGATCAACTTTGAGGGACCACCTTGGCAAGGACCAATTTGTTTGAGGGATCACCTTGGCAAAGACCAACTTGTTTGAGGGACCACCTTGCTAAGGACCAACTTCTTTGAGGGACCACCTTGGCAAGGACCAACTTCTTTGAGGGACCGCCTTGGCAGGGACCAACTTTGAGGGACCGCCTTGGTAAGAACCAAATTTGAGGGACCACCTTGGCAAGGAGCAACTTCCCTGAGGGATCAGGCAGGGATGAGCACTCAGGAACCTCCTGGGAGCTGCTTGGATCCAGGATCTGCCCCACACCGAGGCAGGAGAAGCCACGGCACAGAGCTGAGGCCGCCATGGCACAGAGATGCCTGTGCCCAATCCTGGTGTGGGATCACCCCAGGGGACATCCCACTGGATCTACACTGGAGGAGAAGGACCTTCAACAAGGATTGGCCATGGAGTGAAGACCCCCAAAACCGAGAACCTTCCCAAGGGCGTTACCTGAGATGGATGCAGGTAGGGCTCAGGGGACGCCAGGTTGGTCTGGACGGAGACGCTCTTCTCCAGCAGGATCTGGGGGAAGCCCAGCTTCTCGAAGGTGTTCCTCTTCCAGTGCTTGTTCTCCTGCTGCGCCAACGCCTCGTCCTCGCTGAAGGCTCGCACCACCGGGCCCGGCATGGGCAGCGGGAGGGCCCCGTCGCTCTCGTAGCCCGAACCGTCCTTTTGGGAATCCCAGCTGCTCCGTTGCTTCATGTGGTAGTGAGCCTGCTGCGCTTCCCACGCCAGGCGCGCCTGCGCCAGGAACGGCTCCGGGAAGCCCCGCGCCGCCTCCGCCTCGGCCGCCTTGCTCTCCGTCCGGTTCATCGGCGACCTGTTGGGCCCCGGCGTGGCTCGTTCCTCACCCAGCTCGCCCAACACCTCCCGCTCCCCTGAGCCGTCCGTGGAGGAGGCGTTGACGTCGTGGTTCACCGAAGGCTTCCGGCTTTTCCTCTTCCTGGTGGAGGGCGAGTAACCGGTGGAGGACAAGGTGTCCTGCTGGCTGGACCACGACATGGAGTCCTCGCCCTGGGCCACCTGGGCCCCCGTGGGGCCGGGGCAGAAGTCGGGTCCCTCCATGCTGCTGTAGTCGCCCGATTTGATCTCCAGGCGTTGGTCCCGCACCAGGCAGGGGCTGTGCTGCAGCGAGTAGGAGCCGCCGATGGGGTTGGGGGAATATTTGTGCCTCAAGCCCGTCTTCATCTTGGGGCTGGAGCCCGACTGCTCCACGTAGACCAACTGCCGGACGTACTCCTTGCCGGCCGGGCTGTATTCCAGGCTCATGAAGCGGTCGGGACATTTCTGCTTGGTGAGCACCAACTGCTGGTAGGGCGAGTTGGAGCCTTGCTTGGGCGACTGGAGGAAAGGGTGAGGCTTGCGGATGGGCGATTTCTGCGGCGACCCGGCCTTGTAGCTCCCGCTGGCTTCGTACTGCATGTCCACGGGCGGCTCATCGTAGATGGGAGCCTGGTATTCCATGGGGGGCTCCTCGTAGAGCGGGGGCTCGTAGGCGTAGCGGGGCGACGAGGGCTGGGATTCGCTGGAATGTTTGCGGTGCTGGGCTTGGAGCGGCGAGCAGAAGGAATCGCCCCGGCCCAGCAGCGGTGAGCAGCTGCCCACGTGCTCGGCCCTCTTCAGGAAGGGCGACTGCTTCCTCTCCGGGAAGAAGACGGAGTTGTCGGTGTCCGAGGAGAAGGTTTGGAGGTTGGGCGACTGCTGGCCGCCCGAGGGCCGGCGGGAGCGGGAGCCAGGTTGGTTTTCCGGGGCGTAGCCGTTGCCTTGGTGGAGGAGGAAGCTGGGCTCCCGATCCGTCACCTTGATCAGCATCCGCTCCTTGGTGCCGGCGTTCCATCGGAGGGATGAGGTCCTGCGGGGAGAAACATCACGGTGAGGGTCAGAATTCCACAAAAGTTTGGGATTGTTGGTCCCAAACCTCCCAAACTACCACAGAGCCTGGACGATGAATATTCCCAAGAGCTCGAGAGATGGAGATGGGAGGGATTGGATTGGGTTGGATATTGGACAAGGCATGGAGGGACATGCCTTGAGGGCAGGGTTGGATGGGATAACGGGAAGGAATTCTTGGCTGTGAGGATGGGGAGGCTCTGGAATGGAATTCCCAGAGAAGCTGTGGCTGCTCCATCCCTGGAAGTGTCCAAGGCCAGGCTGGACAGGGCTTGGAGCAACTTGGGATAGTGGAAGGCGTCCCTGCCCATGGGACTGGATATTGGGAAGAAATTCTCCCATAAGGAATTCTTCCCTGGCACAGTGGATTTTCATCTCCTCTCTCCCCGTTCCAAGTCCTTGGGACAGTCAGGAGGAAGTGCAAAGATGGATTTTATGGAGCTGCCCAGCTCACAGGAGGGATCCGAGCTGGAATTTGCTGTTCCCAAGGCACAGGGAAGCACATCCTGTCACCAATCCCACGCTGGAACAGAAGATGCCGGAGGCACCGTCTGCTCTCCCACTTCATCCCTCTCCAGTTCTCGTTTATTCCCAGCCATTTGTCCCTTCTGTCCCCCAGGAAAAGGTGGAGTGAGTTCAATCGCTGAGTTTTGAGGAAAAAATTCCCACAAAAAGCCACAAACAATTCCCTGCAGGAGGCTCCACAGTCTCTCCTTGTTTGTCCAGGGCTTTGTCCTCGCTCCAAGGGATTTGGGAACAATTTATTCCTTCCTTTTCCACCTTTGGAAGCGCCTTTGGAGCTCCTGGGGACTTGAGCCTCCTGCCAACTTCTTGCTGCTGAAAACCTGGAGGAGTTTGGGTTCCTCCACCTTGGTTTGATGGATCTCAACTTCTTATGCTGCCCTTCCAGACCCTCAAAATTCCATCCATGACCACAAAATCATGGATTCATTGAATGGTTTGGGTTGGAAGTGGCCTTAAAGCTCATCCAGTTCCTGCCATGGGCTGGGACACCATCCACTACCCCAGGTTGCTCCAAGCCCCTTCCCACCTTGCTCTGCTCCTGAAAAATCTGCTTTTCCTGCTCAAACCAGGCACAAAAATCTTGGATGGCTCCATGTTTCTTCTGGAAGAGCTGGAGGTCTTTAATCCTCATGAATAACCTGACTTTTATACACAGATCCCAAAAATCATGAGGAAAGAAAATAGAAAAGTCACAGAGGATTCCCAGTGGAACTGGACTGGAATTCCCAGGGAATCTGTGGCTGCCCCATCCCTGGAAGTGTCCAAGCCCACGTTGGACAGGGCTTGGAGCAACCTGAGTTAGTGGAAGCTGTCTCTACCCATGGAAAAGGGTTGGAATGAGATGATCCGGAAGTTCCCTGCAGAAATCCACCTTTCCACATTTTCCCCACCCCCACCCGAACCCAAATCCCTCCTAAATCCAGGTGTTTTCACCCAAACCAGGTGAAACCGCCGCTTAATTCCCAGCTTTGCAGCTGGCATTAATATTCCAGCCCGCGGCATCTGGCAGCAGCGGATCCCAAGAAAAATCCCCAACGGAGCAGCGGCGCTTCCGTCAAATTGTCAAATCACCTCGTCCGGGCCGAGCTTTCAATCCCAAATATTAAATAACAATAAGCAATATTCCAGAAAGCTCCGTGGATTATGGTTAGTGCCCCCCCCCCCCCCCAAAAAAAAAACCCCCACGGAATAAATGGATTTTTCTGCTGGTAAAAGGAATCCCAAAAAGGCGATTTTTGGGCTGAAATCGCTGCCCACGAGCGGCACGGCCGCTCCAAGAAATTCAAGGGATGCTGGCACGGGGCATCCGGCAGAAATTCCAAGTATTCCTGTTATTTCTGGCTTGGCACCGGGTTCTCCCTGCTGTTTTCTCCACGTGGGGAAGATTTTTTCTACTCTGTACATTTCCATGACAAAACCGCTTCCCGAATCCCTCTGCATCTCCTATCCGAGAAATCCATTTCTTTGGAAATTTGTGTGATTCCCACATAATTTCCCTCTGGTTTAGGGCAGGATTTTTCCATGTTCTCCAAAATTTCCTTCCCTGCTCCAACGCCTCCTCCTCGATCTTCTTCCAACCTTTGGGAAGTCAGCGATGGAGGGGAGAGGAGAAACCTGGATCCCTCATCCGGGAATTCCTTTGCTTCCCGTTGTTTTTTTCTGGAGAGACCCCACACCTGCAGGTAAACCCCCCCTAATTTGCATATCATTATTCATTCCAGCAAGAATTATGACCATGCACAGCTCAAAATTCTTTAAAATCCCACGAAAATAACCAAAATTATGGATTTTTTACATTCCTGATGCTTTTAATGGGGCTGAGGTCCAGCTCCACTCATGGTGGGACTGAGGGAATAAATCACAGCCGGGTTTAAGCAGAATTATTTTAAAATAATATTTCATTATTTTAAACCAGAATTATTTGGTTTTTGATGGAATGAGGCGGCGACGTGAGGTTTTAAAAACATGAATATTTCCAAAACCGACCCAAACCATGCATTTTTCCAAGATTCCTTCCCCTGCCCCAGTGTTTAGACTTTGCAAGTGAAAATTAAAATTTAGAGCTGGGATTAAGTGGATTTTCCCCTCCCTGGGAAAAGGGGAAAAAAACCTGATTTGAATAATTCAAATATCAGAACACAGCCGGATTGTCCGGGAAAAGCAAAAGTTCCCTGGGCACCCCCCACCATCCCAGCTCCCAAATTCCCAAAATCCCAAAAATCCTCTCTCTTCCTCACCTTCCTCCCCTGGCTCTGGGATTTGGGAGCATCTTCTCCCTCCGCCTTCCACCTGAGCTCCAAATTCCCTTTTCCAGGGCTAAACTGGGATGGGAATGAGGGAAGCAGCCCGGCCCCTCTTCCCTCCCAGCTGGGCACCGCCTGCTCCGAGCGCATCCCGCTGGGAATTCCGGGGTCAGGGATGAGCCGGCGGCGGAAAAAACCCTCCCCGTGCCTGGCACGGTGCCCGGCGCCGCTCCGGCAGCACGAAAATCTCCGTGAAAAAAAATCAGGGAAAGGTGAGCAGCAGAGCCTGAGGACGTCCAGGCTTCCATCTGGAGCCTCCCGTGATCCATCCGAAATTTTCCAGCTGGGAAAACGTCCTCAGGACAGGAATCCAGCCTCTATAATCATGCAAAAACTCGTATTTTATGTTAATTTATAATTAAATGAAGCTGTAGGATGAAATCCTGAAATCCTCCATCCTTAAGGTTTTGCTGTTCTTCGCTTGCAAGCAGTGCTGTTCCCAAAAATTGACATGGAATTCTGTGGAATTCCGTATATATAAATATCCCAGGGCTTGGACTGGAGTTTTAAATTCTACATTTTAAAATTTTGAATTTTAAATTCCTGCTCAAGCAGGAATTTCTCAGTTTTTGTGGGATTTGGGGTTCTCACAACCCCGCCATGGCCTCTCCAATTCTTCTTCCACACTTCCAATCCCTCTTCCCATCTTTTGGAAGCGTCACTCCCTCCTTGGAGTTCATTTTTTAGGAAGCCTTTTGATTGGTTGAAGCTGATTCCTAGAAAAACCGGAACAACCAAGGAGAAATTTGCATAATTCGGGCAATAAAATGGATATTTGGGAAGAAGTTGAGTACCAGGATCGAGTTTTCCCAGGATGATTTGACAGATACAACACAATCCATGGGATATCCACGAAGAGGAAAATCCAGTTTGGTCTTTCAGTGGGAATTCTGGAGTGATGGGAATGTTGAAGCCCAAAGTCTGTGACATCAAATCTTGGTTTGGTGGATGCCCACGACCTCCTGAAGCTCCTCCGCACACAATTCCGTTCTCCAGCTAAAATATTCCCAAAGGATTATACCCACCAAAATACCATTAAAAAAAAATTTAAAATCCTATTATTTTTCCAAAACTCTCAGGGATTGTCCAATCCCTGTCTCCGGATGGCGCTATGGGATCACGTTCAGCTCCAAGCCCTCAACACCAAATCTCTCCGCGAAACTTCTCCGATGTTCTGCTGCTCCGGTGGCATCGGCGCTAATTAACATCCACGGAAGCTGATCAAGACCACAGGGAGACAACGACCCATCCCATCCCATTCCCACTTTTTTTCAGGAGAAGCAGGGCCGGGAGGATGAATTTTTGCCATTTTCCCGCAGCTGTTTGGGTGGGATGGTCAGGTCGGGACGTTGGAGGCCACGAATCCATAACCAAGGATTTCATGGGATGTTGATGGTGAGGAAACACCAAAATGAACTTGGATGATCACTCCTGATGAGTCCCTCGGCTGAAGGTCAAGTTGACCTTGCTGAAGGTCCAGGGTGGACCTTCCCCACCCATCTTTGTCCTCTTCTTTTGGGACATCCATGATGGCCGGGAGGGGTCTCCAGTGAGTTCCTCCAGGATCAATCCCATCAGGAACCCACCAGGAGGAAGCACAAGACCAACACAACCGAGCCGGGCATGGACAACACGGCCGCCAAATTCCCGGGAGCCAATCGGGGCTGCTCATCCCAATGAAAGCAATCCCCCAAAAATAGCTTCGTTCCCGAAATCCAAATGTCACCGAAAACAAGAGGAGATCTTTCCAGATTGGAGAGGGAGGAGGGAATGCTGGGAAAGGAGCACAGAGGAGCCTTTATCCTTCTGAGGAATCAGCTGGGAAGAACAAAGAGACCAGAAGTGACATTTCCCGAAATAGCCGATCAATAGGGAATCTGCTCCCGCTGGCTCCGGGAGCGCGACAAAGAGTTCCAAAAATGGTGATTTTTTTTTTAGCTCTTGCCCATTCTGAATGGATTTTGCATCCCCCGGAACACATTCCCTACGCCAAAGCTTTTCCTCCTCTTGGTGTCTCCAGCCTGACGGGACACAGGGAATGGCTTCCCACTTCCAGAGGGATAGGGGGGATTTTGGGACGGAATTCTTCCCTGTGAGGGGCTGGAATGGAAGGAAGATTGATTGATTGATTGATTGATTTTGGATTAGCAAAGAGTTCAGCTCCCTGAACGGAACAAGGACATGAAGCAGCTCTGGGAACCACAAATCCAGAGGGAATGAAGAGGGAAAGGCTTAAGGGCAAGGATTGGGAATGACGGGATTTAGGATTCCAGGCGGACTGAGCACAACGTCATCCTCTGAATGACACCCATTAATCTTTGTTACATTGGAAAAATCTCCCGTAGGAATTGTTGGCCTGGAGCTCCAAGGAAGCGGAAAAATCCTTCCTTGCTCCCAAGGATGTTGCTGCAGCTCCTGGGGTGATCCACCAGCAGGTGGTGATGACTCCATGGGTGAGGATCCCCAGCTGAATCCCACGGGATTTCTCAGTCAAGATCCGGCTTCTCTCCACAAGCCACCTTGATCCCACACTTTGTCCCAACACCTGGGAGTTCTCCAGCTTTTCCTTTCCCGGCCAGAGGGGATGGAGGAAGGCAGGAACCATGACCTGGGTCTCACCACGCTTTCCCACCCACCAGAGAACCACGGATGAGCTGTGGGACTCATTCCTGTGTCCCTCTGCCATTTTCCACAGGAAAACCTCTGGAATTAACGCCAGACTCGAGGAGAAGAAGGTTGGAAAGACCTGGGAAGGCTCTTGGCTTGCAGACCTGATTTTCCAGCTGATCCTGGAACCTCTAGGATCATTTCACAAAGGGGGTTTGGAAGCGAGGGAGCTGTGGCAGCTCCACTGGAAGTGTTTGAGGGCTCACCACACTCCATGATGGATCTTGGAAGTTCTGGTTGGGTTCCATCCTGCTCCAGATTCATCACCTCCATGTTGGGACAACCCGAGACTTCCCAATCCCTGTCCAAAAGTCCTGGAGCACCACTGCTCTTCCATCCCAGGAAGTGCCTCAGGCCAGGTTGGACAGGGCTTGGAGAAACCTGGAATACTGGAAGGTGTCCCTGCCCTTGGAGTGGTTTGGGTGGGACTGGACGATCTCTGAGGTCCCACCCAAACCCATTCCGCGATTCCATGATTAATTTCCCCCACCCCACAATTAATCCCATTAACAGGAATTCATCACGAGCTCCCATTCCATCTTATGGCACTCATGGGGTTAAACCAAAGGACGTCCACTCACAGCTAATTAAGCAAAGCTGCTAATTAGCTCCTTGGCTGTCGGCGGGCTGGGGGAAGGGCTGCCAGGGCTGCTCCGTGGGTTTTTATGGGATTGGGAAGACAGAGGCGTCTCCCGTGGCACAGCTGATGCCGACAGCTCATGAATGCGGTGACACCGAAGCTTTTAATTGCCACCAGCCCAAATCCGCCTTGTCCCCGTCACCGAGAAATCCCAACGGATTCTGGCTTGGCTCCCGCTGCCAATCCCTGTTTCCCAACCAAACATCTCCAATTCTCACTCCTTCCCACCCTTCCTGGGAATTGCATCCGCCCAGCTCATGGATGGGATCAGGTTGTCCATGGATTCATGGAGGGCGGTGAGGATAAAAACCCGATCCCACTGCCCTGCTGGTTTTCCCTCCTGGAAAGGTTGGAATTTTTTTCCCTCTCTTCCTTAAGTGGCAATTAATTCTGACACTTCCCAGGAGGTCACTTGGTGGCAGTGAATTCCAGGGAAAGGCGGGATGGAATGTGATGGAGACCAGCTTGGAACAGCTGGAAAACGTGCCAGGAAAAGGGATGAGGAGCATCGCGGCCTTCCCGGTCACCATTTCCTACTGGAGGTGCCTCCACTCATCCCCAGCTCCTGAAAAAATCCAGGAATTTGGGGTTTTATCAAAACCTGGAGCAACCAGGCAGGGAGTGACTCCAGAAATCCCCAAAATCCGGTTTTATCCTCGTCTTGGATTTCTGGGGTTTGACAAGGACCTGGTGGGATCCAATGGGGACTTTTGGGGTTCAGTGAGGACTTGGGGACTCAAGAAGGACTTGGAGGGATCTGACAAGGACTTGGGGGAGTTCAAGAAGGATTTTTGGGGGTCCAGTGAGGATTTTTGGAGCTCAAGAAGGGCTTGGTGGGGTTCAATGTGGATGTTTGGGGTTCAGTGAGGTTTTGGGGTTCAAGAAGGAATTTCGGGGATCAGTGAGGATTTTGGGGGTTCTGTGAGGATTTTAAGTTCAAGAAGGAATTTTGGGGTTCAATGAGGATATTTGGGGTTCAGTGAGGATTTGGAGTTCAATGACGAATTTTGGAGTTCAATGAGGATTTTGGGGGTTCTGTGAGGGTTTTAAGTTCAGGAAGGAATTTTGGAGTTCAATGAGGGTGTTTGGGGTTCAGTGAGGATTTGGAGTTCAATGAGGAATTTTGGAGTTCAATAAGGATATTTGGGGTTCAGTGAGGATTTGGGGTTCAATAAGGAATTTTGGGGTTCAATGAGGATGTTTGGGGTTCAGTGAGGTTTTGGGGTTCAAGAAGGAATTTCGGGGATCAGTGAGGATTTTGGGGGTTCTGTGAGGATTTTAAGTTCAAGAAGGAATTTTGGGGTTCAATGAGGGTGTTTGGGGTTCAGTGAGGATTTGGAGTTCAATGAGGAATTTTGGAGTTCAATGAGGATTTTGGGGGTTCTGTGAGGGTTTTAAGTTCAAGAAGGAATTCTGGGGTTCAATGAGGACATTTGGGATTCAGTGAGGTTTTGGAATTCAAGAAGGAATTTTGGGGTTCAATGAGGATATTTGGGGTTCAATGAGGATTTGAGGTTCAAGAAGGAATTTTGGGGTTCAATGAAGATTTTGGGGGTTCAGTGAGGATTTTTGGGGCTCAGCAACCACGTGGTGGGGTTCAATGAGAATTTTGGGTGTTCAATGAGGATTTTGGGTCCAAAATGGAGGTGGCAGGGTTCAAGAAGGACTTTTGGGATTCAGTGAGGCCTTTTTGAGTTCCTTGAGGACTTTTGGAGTTCCACAAAGACCTGAAGGCAACACATGGAAGGGAAGGGATGAGGAGAAGGATTGGGAAATCCTTTGGGAATAAAACATCAGTGACATTCACTGCCCCACCCACCCCAACCCCGATCCCGGATGGAAATTCCGGCTACCTGTAGTGCAGGAGTTGTCCTTCCGCGCTGTAATCCCGATAAATGTCGTATTCCTTCTCGAACACTCCGGAAGGCGACGAACTGGAAAACAGGAACGGCGGACGAGGAGTTACCAATGGATACATCAATGTCTCCTCTAGGATTAATGGAGATGAATCCCATCAGGATGGGATCCACCTGTCCGGGATCTGCTCCCGGGACCTGCTGGAGCTTGGAGTCATTGATTTTTTATTTTGAGTTGTTGGCCGGATGATGACCAAGCCACTCCTGGCCGTGGTCTCCAGGTTCATGCCCATCCCTTCCAAGACCAAATTTTCCCTTAAAACATCTGAGCAGATCCCAAACATTTCCTGGCTTTATCCCACCCTTTCTGAGTGCCACTCCCGCTCTTCAACAACCTCGGATGGTCAGAGCCAACACGGGAAGAGGAAAATCCCCAAAAAACCCCATTTTTGCCACATTTTCATCTAAATCTGAGCCTGCAGAGCTCTCGTTCCCAGAAGATGGAGAAGGTCACATCACCAAGCCACTCCAAGAGACACCACACTTGGAAAAAACCCCATCTGGAAGTCTGGGGTGGAATTTCCAAACTTTTTGGACTTTTTTCCAAATTTTTGGACTTGGTGGGTTTCAGTGAAGACTTGGGAATTCAGAGTTGGAGTCCAAGAAAGATTTTGTGGGATTCAAGGACTTAAAGCCGCTCCTGTAGAATCAAACCCACTCTTGATCCATATTTTTGGCTCCACACTTTTCCAAAGGCCATGAATCCATGCCAAGACCCTCCAACACTTCCCAAAAACCAGGTATTGATCATTGTCTTTCCAATATTTTCCATCCCCGCTGCCAGTGAGCACAGGAAAATGTTCATTTTTGCCTTAATGGCCCTTCCCAGCGGGAATGTGCTCAGAATTGGTCCCGTTTGGAAAACACAGAACAAATATTTATCCAGAAAATGTCTGGAGAAATAACTTTATTCCAAAAAAACCACCCCTAAAATTCCCCCATGTTTCCTTGTTAATGCTCCCCTGTTAATAAAATTCAGATCCAATGTTGGTTTCGGGAGGAAAAAAAGAGGGAAAAGAAACAAATCTTCCTAATAGGATAAAGCTCCAAAATTTTAGTGGAGCAAGAGGCAATAAAATTAAGCTTCTGTCAAAGCTGATTTTAATGGGATTTAGCCCTGGAATTACGGCTGTGAGGAATTGCTTAATCCCTTTTTCCTCGCCAGTGCGTGTGAATGGAATTCCACCCCCTCCTCCCCCTCCTCCTCCTCCTCCTCCAGGATTCCCAAGAGAAAGGCATCACCTCTGATCCCAGTGCTGTACCCGAATCCATAGTGGAATTTAGATGGATTCCCAATTCCATGGCGGAATCCAGATGGATCTCCACATCCATGGCGGAATCCAGATGGATCCCCACATCCATGGTGGAATCCAGATGGACCCCAATTCCATGGCGGAATCTAGACGGATCCCCACATCCATGGTGGAATCCAGATGGACCCCAATTCCATGACGGAATCCAGATGGATCCCATCCCTGGATGTGTCCAAGGCCAGGTTGGAGCAACCTGGGATAGGGGAAGTTCCCTGCCCAGGAACTGGATGAGCTTTAAGGTCCCTTCCAACCCAAACCATTCCGTGATTCCAGGAGAGTTCTGGAGCTGTTCAAGGTCCTTCCCTAGGGATCTCCCACCCCCATCCCGTACAGCAGCATCCCTGGGAAAGTCTGGTGGGAATGCTGGTCTTTCCCTCTAAAAACTCCACTGGAACCTGGTCATGGCCAAAATGGGATCGCCAAACCCAATGGACACTGGAATTCCCATGTGGTATGGACCAACAGCTCCTCCCACTGCCATCAGCAAGGTCCACACCCCTCCAGGATGGAATTCCCACTCCTCTGGATCCCAGGGTTGTGTTCCAGGTGCCCGGATCAAGCTCCACATGCTCCTCCATCCTTTAGTTTGGCTGAGCATGAAAATGGGCGGATTTTTCTTGGAGTTTTTCGGAGTTGTTGCTTCCAAGATCTTCCCAATCCATCGGAGCCATGGCTTGGTTTCCATCCATCCTTTCTCCTGCTGTTCCATTTCCCATCAGCATTAATTATCCCTGTCCAAACGAGCTCCAGGCCTCTTCCCGTCCATCTCCGACGAGGTTTCCGTGCAGACGGAGTTGAGGATGAGAGAATCCATCCCAAAGATTCCGACTGGGGGGAGCCGGGCAGGGAATCTCCGCAGGGATCCGCGGACGGATGGAGCTGTGGTTGCACATTCCCGGGGATGGCCAAGCCAGCCCCACTTGCTTTTCCGGGATGAGCCGAGTTTTTGGGAATCATTAAAAACCACCAGCTGAGGTTCCACGTTAATGAGCAGCCTCTGGAATTGGCCCGAGAGCCGGGGGCAGGATTCCCAGTTGATTCCTGGTTAATATTTAAACAGCAGCAGTGCTGGATTCCGGCTATCCCGGCTTCCCGCGGGCAGGGATGCGACGGAGCGTGGCCCCTACCCTTGGCCAGCTGTTTTTCCAAGGTTTTTAAGCCAAATCCTTATGGATTTTGTTTGACTAACAAGCAAAAAAAGGATTAAAGGAGGAATTTTACAATGAGGGTGGTGAAAGATGGGAGGATCTGTGGATGCTCCATCCCTGGAATATTCCAGGCTGGGTTGGATGGGGCTTGGAACAACCTGGGATAGTGGAAGGTGGCCCTGCCCATGGAAGGGGGGTGGAAGTGGATGGTTTTGAGGATCCAAACCATTCCATGTCCATGATCTTTCCTGCAATCTCCACCTTGGCCCAGTTTGTGTCCTTAAGCCAGACATTCCCACCCAACCTGGCCTTGGCCAACCCGGAACAACTGGGATAATCTGGAAAACTCATCCCAAATGAATTCCCAAAGTGGGCGTCAAGGGCTTCCACAAGCACGGGGCTACAGGCACTGGACTGCATCCCAGAAATCCCAACGGATAAAATCGCACGGAGCTGATCACAGGAAGCAAAACCAGCTCCAACCAAAAACCCGACCGGTTTGGAAACCCAGATTTGGTTTTGGAAAAGTGTCCTGAGGTCTCTCCAAAATCCTTCTCCATGCAAAGCCAGCCCGGCTCCCTCATTTTCTCCTCACACACCCTGTGCTCCATCCTGGTGATTCCCCACTGGATTCTCCCAGGTTTTTCACATTTTGGATAACTCAAAGGTTGCCCAGTTGTGGTCAAGTGAGGCTTAAATCTTTGCTGGACATTCCAAGGTGTTCCCAACTTCCCTTCCTCACCTGCCCTGGGGATATCACTTCCCAGCATTCCCGAATCCTTGAGCAGCCACTGGTTTGTCCATCCAGCTTGTCTGGAGCCGGGGGTGGCTCCGCAGATTATTGATAAGGATATCCAGATTATTGATAAGGATCGGGAGAGGAGCCGGGATCGGCCTGGGAGGAGCCAAACATTGGGAATGAACCCCAACCGGCACACTCCAATCCAGACAATCCTGTTTTTATCCATCAAATCGTGTCCCTGGCTGGACGAGAGATACATCCAAAGCCTTTCCGGGACATTTTGAAGGTGGTTTTCCAGGAATAAAGGTGATTTTCCAGTAATCAAGATGATATTCCATTAATAAATGTGATTTTCCAATAATTAAGGTGATTTTCCACTAATAAAGATGGTTTTCCAATAATTAAGGTGGTTTTCCAGTAATCAAGATAATTTTTCATTAATAAGTGTGATTTTCCAATGAAAAAGGTAGTTTTCCACAAATAGGAGTGATTTTCCAATAATTAAGGTGATTTTCCAGCAATTAATGTGATTTTCCAATGGGAAAGGTGATTTTCCACTAATAAAGGTGATTTTCCATCAACCAAGATGCTTTTACATCAATAAAATTAATTTTCCCTAAACCACAGCTTAGAAAGCCTCCAGCACGGACAGAAATTTTTCCTGGGAACCTCTGGCACAACAACAAAACCTAACAAAATATTTTTTAAAAAATCAATAAATCCAGCAGGTTTTTTTTCCCCTCCTGCCTAGAACAGGAAACGGCACCATTCCCCAGCCTTTGGAAAATCAGGGAAAGTGAGCGGCCTGAAATAGCTCAGCTCCATGGCAAAAGCCAGGAATAGAAATGAAATCCCAGCTCCAAATCCTCGGCTTTAATCGCTGCCCTTCATACTCTTAATTACAGCCCCCGCTTCCAATAAAACTTCAAAGATGGTTTTCTTTTGGAATTATGCAACCGGAATTTTGGGGTCGGCCGCCGACGCAAGTGCTCGGAGGAATTAGGCAAATATCCACCTAATCCGGGGCCGCGTTTCGCAACGGGAAGCGGGGAATTCAAGGAAAGGATATTAAAAAGCTTCAGCCCCCGATTTCCATCCCAGCTCGGAGCAAGAAATGCCGGATATGAGAATTTTTTTTTTTTTTTTGGGAAGTATTTGAGGATGGAATGAGGAAGGGGAGCTCAGTCTTGTTTGGGTTATGCCGGGAATGTGTTTTCCACTTGGTTATCCCCAAATATTTCCTTGGATGGTTCCATGTCCTGGGAGCTTCACGGTCTCAATAAACTCAAGGATCGCGGCGAGGAATTGGATTAAGGAAGGAGCCTGGAAAATGGATTTGAGGATCTTGGAAGTCTTTTCCGACTTCAACAATTCCATGGAAAACTCAGCCGGATGGGTGGGATGAGACCCGGCACTGTTGGAGCACCCCCAGTGCTGGAGAAGGGGAAAGGAAGTTGAAGCTCAAAGGAATTTTAGAGTAGGAAAACCTCCCATGGGAGGGAAATCAAATCTTTGGATAAATTTGGGAATGCTGGGAGATCTTATCAAAGAATTCCAGCAAAGCCCCATCCCTGGAAGTGTCCAAGGCCAGGTTTGAAGCAACCCAAACCGCTGGAAGGGACATCAAAGACCACAGAATTCCAACCCCTTTGCCATGGACAGGGACATCCAGCGTCACTCAGAGATGGATTTTTGCCATGAAACAGGTGGGATAAACAAAAAACAGGGATAAAACACCACAAAAAAACCATTGGAAGACCAAATTTGGGATCCTTCCCAACATCCTGCCTCATGGGTTGGGAAACTGAGGATCTT